AAATTTTGCTTAACGAGTTACCACGATTACGATAACGTTATAATATTTACAAGATTTCAGAGCAGGTTTTAGGTATTCAAATTTTTTGGACGAAAAGTGGATTTTATAATGAAAAATAGTGAAATCTTGACAATAAAAGTAAAACTACCCAGTTCACCTCCGTTTTTGAATTTCATTCGCTTATTTTATTTACTGTGGGATAAAAATTGAATTTTTGTTTATCAAATTGTCCAACTCTACGCTTAAAAAAATTTAAAGTGGCCCCGCCCACCCACCCTGCTTTCTTTGTGATCTTTCATTTTATTGGTGGAAAAGTGGATTTTTATATTGAAAAACAGAGACATATTAACAAAAAAGATAAAACTAACCCCACCCACCTCCGTTTTTGAATTTCATTGGCTTATTTATTTACTGAGATGAAAATTTAATTTTATTTTGTTAAGTGGTCAAATCTACGAATAAGAAAAACTTTCAAATTGGTCCACCCATCCTGCTTTTTTATCACGCATTTTATTGGACAAAAAGTGGATTTTATAATGAAAAATAGTGAAATCTAGACAATAAAAGTAAAACTACCCCACCCGCCTCCGTTTTTGAATTTCATTGGCTTATTTGATTTATTGTGAGATGAAAATTGAATTTTAGTTTATCAAACTGTCCAATTCTATGCTTAAAAAAATTCAAAGTGCAACCCTGCCCACCCACCCTGTTTTCTTTGTGATCATTCATTTTATTGGTGGAAAAGTGGGTTTTATATTCAAAAACAGGGAAATCTAGACAAAAAAGGTAAAACTAACCCCACCCACCTCCGTTTTTGAATTTCATTGGCTTATTTATTAACTGAGATGACAATTTAATTTTATTTTGTCAAGTGATCGAATCTACGAATAAGAAAAAAAGATAAAGCTGATTTTGGCAAATGACATACCCTCTAAGAAAAGAAAGGGTGGGTGGGCGGGGCTAGTACTTGTTAAGATAAGACTGATTTGTCAAATGAGATATCCTTTAAGAAAAGAAAGGGCGGGTGGGCGTGGCTAGCACTTGCTAAGATAAGACTGACTTTGGCAGATGATATATCCTCTAAGAAAAGAGAGGGCGGGTGGGCGGGGCTAGTACCTGCTACGATAAAACTGACTTTGGCAAATGACATACCCTCTAAGAAACGAGAGGGTGGGTGGGCGGGGCTAGTACCTTCTAAAATAAGATAGATTTTGGCAAATGGCGTATCTTATAAGAAATTTCATTAAATTATTATAAGAAAAAACACTCAAGACTTTTTCAGATTCGTAAAAAGTAAAACACTAAAAGCTCAAAAGATTTTTTCAAGTTCATCCAGCAACAAAACACCAAATTTCTTTAAATTTATCCGAAATTAAAACAGTCACTTTTTGGACAGAAAAATTGTCTCTAACCGAAATGAATAACTAAATATTCTCTTTTTCGAGTAGAATTTGTCTATAAATTTTTGCAACTCTTCTAAAATTCTATCGAACTTTTGATTTCGTTCTGCAGTTCTAGCTCTACAAATAAATCAGAAGTCTATAATTTCAGATTTCTAGACAGATTTCTAGAATAATCTCGAACCAAATTAATTACGCCCCCTGTTCAATTTTAACCCTGAAGGCGAAATTCTTCTATATCTATATAAAAAAGACTTTTTTGCTTTATTTTGTGTGTATGATTTGATATTTGACATTTGACATTATACAACAACAAAAAAAGAAAACTGACCTCACCCACTTTGAATTTAATTGAGATGAAACCTTTGCAGTTTCGAAGTTAAATTTCAAAATAGTGTTATACAGTTTTGAACTTTTTTTCGAAAAGTTCTGGATATCGATGGTGAAAATTCGAGATGACATCATTCCATTGGTGATGGGGATGATTAGCCAAATTTTAGCCATCTACATAATAGTCCCAATATACATGCGAAAATTGGTCCAGCAGTCTCGGAGATTACGTGTCTAATAAAAATGGACACAGACATCAGACAGACAGACAGACGGAAACGCGACACCACTTTTTCGTAGTTTAAGGGTCATGACACGTCAAGGGTTTGTGTGGAGTACACTCCTGTACTCAATCATTTTGAACAAAGCGATAGAGGAAGCCACGAAAATAAGGGAAAAAGTAAAAATAAGATAATGGCAGATGCAAGCAATCTACCTTAGTGAACTAATGTTTACAGATGACATGGTTATATTAGCAAAAACAGAAGAAGAAATTAATTTAGATATCTTAGGGAGATATCGAAAGTAAATATAAAGATCAAATTCGAAAAACTAAAAGGGAAAGTAATTGAACAATTGCAATGTTATAAATATTTAGGAAGAATAATACAAGTCAATGGAAAAATATATCAAAAAATAAATGAAAGAGTAAAGAAAACAGTGAAAATATTTAATATGATGAGAAAAACATTCCTAGGGAAAAAGAAAATACAGAAAAACAAAAAGTCGCGTTAATACAATTGCCAGATTATTAACAAAAACAGAAAACAAAACTAGGAGGGATAAAATAAGAAATGACAGTAATGAGACACAGTGTCAGAAAATACTAATTAAACCGATAAAGGATAAAATAGAAGGGCAGCTAAGGTATTTCCTCCTGAACGATTAACTAAAAAAAAATGGATACACATACCAGACAGACAGGCAGGCAGACAGACGGAACCGGGAGACCACTTTCTTCCTACTGCAGGAGCCATGACACGTCGAGAAAATATAAAAGTGGAAAAGGAAGAAAAAGAAAGAACTCTAAGATGAAATGGAAAAACTGTGTCAAGAAAGCTGCGGAAAGAAAGTGGTGTAGCGAGGGAAGGAATGAAAAACAAGACCCAGGATAGAAAGCAGTTTAACGAAAGATGCAGAAACATTTAAACCGCCTTTGCTTCACATTTAAAGTACATGTGAAAGTTCACACATTCACTTAACAATTCAAATCTATAAGCTTTTGTACAACTTTTGCAAAAAAGTGTTCGCTTTTGAAGCACAAACAATACCGATAATTAAAGACAACCTTAAATAAATTTCAGTACACATGCTATTGTCATATTAATTTTATGTTATTGTTAGTGAAAGCACTCTGACGAGTATACAAAAGGAGACAACAGGAAGTCCGTATATGCGAGAATAATAATACTGCAAAGACGAAGAAGGATGTGTGTAAACAACTTAGAGATTATTTCGATTTATAAAGATTAGATTTTTTGGGATTTCACTTCAGTTTAACAGTTGATAACATATTCAGTTAGATAATTAGATCTCTGGTTTGGAAGATTTTTCAAAAAGATACAATGACAGAAATTTCTGGCTTATTTGTTAAAAGAGAAGTAATTTTGGTGATGGCCATAAATAAATCGGATCTATATTTTTAATGATAGTTTTTTTTTTATAACTAGCACTTACATGTTCTATGCTTGCCAGATCTAACACCTGTCCATACTCGATGATATAGGGTACGAGTTATTTCGACTCTGCACCGCATTTTTTATTTTTCTGTTGTTGAGTAAGTAAATGAAAATGTGTTATAATTTATAATTGTATAAAATTGTTTTCGACATAAAAATCCAATAGTTAATATCGTATGATTAATGTATAATGGACAGGTTATAATAGACATAGAGGAGCAAAAAAAAAATCGTGTATAGGATTCGTGCTGAGTACAGTATATTTCTTCTCAGAAAGGAAAACTTAATTGGAATCATGTTACACATGTTGTAAGAAGATTTATAACTCTACTATCTATAAAAGATCACTTAAATTATGCAAATAAAATATTTTTAATGTTCACAATTTTCATAATTTAGACATTAAACACAGCCAAATATGAATACAAATCTTTTCTGATTAATCAAAAACACCCACAATAGTCACTGACATTTCTTAAATTTAAGAAAACAACTTAAGCACGGGAATGGACGAAATCGCGTCATTAATCTTTTAAAACGTAAACGATTTTTATCTGGACAAAATTTCCAGTTGAAACACCTTCGCAGTTTGCAGTAATAAATTGCTAAATGCACCATTGACGTCGGGACTAAAATAATTAAATAAATATCAAGCAGAATTTTTTTTAAATAAAGAACCACCACTTGACGAATTATACTGAAAACACACGAAAGCAGCAGAGTTGTTAAAGTTAATGCAATCCTATAAAAACAACACATCTCTTTTTCACTTGTCAAGAACCGCCTTTGATCGTCGTAACCTGGTAACTCAAGATTAAATTACAACTTATTGTAAACGCAGTGCGGTGTTGGTGGATCTTTATTAAAAAATGAAACAGCTGTTTTAGGTAGGGCTACACAAGCAGTAAGTCTTCATTTATTTGGAGATAAATTCCGACGTAATTTGCAATTGCTTATAAGTGCATTAAGGTAACCCTATATTATGAAAGCATAAATAAGGCAACTTAAAAATCATCCCAGCATGGTTTAATAATACTGGCAGCAATAACGATTAAAATCAATTTAACAGTCTCGTCATTAAAAGATGGATTTTTATGTCAGTAAGGTAATGAAATATTTTAAAGTTTTGGTCCTTTATTTCTACAGTGCGGTAAAACGATGCGCATTTTGCATTTTAATGTACCATTTGGCATTTATATGACGCATTTGGCTCATATAAGGTAGTCATTCTCGAACAAAATCGACGAAGCCATGTTTAGCCAAAATTGACGTTGCTGTTTTCATCAAGTTCGTACATTCAAAACAAATCTAAAAAGGAAATAAAAATGACATTCATTCCTCTATACCATAATAAATTATTAACGATTAACATTATGTTGTGTGTAAACAACAACCAAAATGTCATAATTGTGGTCAGCATAAACTGATTGTAAAATGTTTCTTTCTACGCCATTTATCTGACCTTGTTACGATTATTGCTCCTAGACAATTCTTCAACACAAAAACTTTCCGGTAAATGAAAACATTTCCGCGTCTGCAGATTATTACAGTACGGCGAAAACAAGTCGATTAATTAAAATTTTATTTACAGCCTGATTATTATAGAGATGCTTCTCATTTTCTTCGCATTGGTGACGGCCCGGAATATCGGCTGGAAATTCCAAACGCCAAATTAGATTTCACCGGAACTTACACCGTATACGCTAAAAATTGTAATGGAGATGCTAAAGCTATCATTTCGTTGCAGATAAAAGTTAGAGGTGGGTAGCAAATACGAATGTAGAGTAGGTACTGACAATTTTGATTTACAGATGACGCCAAAGTAGGCACCATGGATGTTGGTAAAAGAATTGGGTAGGTCACGCGAATTTTTTTTTTTACACTGTTATATAATACACTTGCTTTTACAGAAATCACCAAACTATTCCAACTATTAAACAAGATCTTAAAGACTTGAGGTGCTGTGACGGCGACAGTGTCGCCTTAGAGTGTAAAGTTGAAGGCAATCCTCCCTTTGACGTTCGATGGGAAAAAGGAGGAAAGGTTAGATTGAAATATCTTTTTTTGCATTTAATAAAACTAAATGTTGTAGCTAATCCGTTTAGGAGAAGATTTCAATGCTGAATTTGATGGTGAAACTGCTATTTTATCCATTAGTAAGGTTTACCCTGAAGATGAAGGCGAGTACACATGTGTGGCTTACAACAACTTGGGAAAAGTGTTCACTTCTGCTTGTATAATAGTCGACAGTAAGCGACGTTTGTCTCGATTGGAATAAATTTAAACTATTTTTTCGTAGTACCGGAGGAAAAAGAAAACCTTCTTAATCAACAACTCAAGCGTCCATCAACTTTAACTGCGGGTTCTACCCCGAGGTCAACTCCTAAGACTACTCCGATTAGAAGCGTGTCCCCGCGCCCTCTGACCCGGGTGTACCAATCCCAGGCTGACAGAGTCCGCCGGATTAGAGCTCAAGCACCTAAATTCTACGCAATCCCTCACAACCGTGTCGCTGAAGAAGGCGAAACCGTGAGGTTCCAGTGTGCTGTAGCCGGCCACCCAGACCCCTGGGTCACTTGGGAAAAGGACGGCTCAGTTTTAACCTCTTCCTCGAGGATGACCCTCACGGAGAGCGACGATTTAAGAATCCTAGAAATCCGCGATGTAGTACCTAACGATTCAGGTCTATATAAAATCACTCTTGAAAACGACGTTGGGAGAGTGGAAGCGTCGGCCCGACTTGAAGTGATTTCGCACCGACCAGCTTCCGCTAGAGGTCTTCGTGCTAGAAGCCTCTCCCCTAAACCAGCCCCCTCATACGGCAAAAACCTCTTCAGTAGTTCCGTGAGGTACGGTAGTACCGCTCGCCTCTTCTACGACATTCGTTCAGTTCCCACCCCTTTCCTCAAGTGGTACAAAGATGGGGTGCCTCTCGAGGATTCCCCGAAATACGTTACCTCCCACGACGACGAAGTCGCCAGTTTGATGATCAAAGACGTAACGTTCACCGATGAAGGTTCGTACTCGTGTGTGGCCTCAAATGACAATGGTTCGGTGAAATCAATAGTTGAGCTAAAAATAATCGAAGAGGAGCTGGCGCCAAGAGTGGCAAAGGCGATGCCTGAAATGTTGAATGCCATAGAAGGAAATCCGGCGAAGTTGCAGCTGAAGGTTACCGGAAGACAGCCTTTTGATGTTGTTTGGATGAAGGACGGCTGTGTGCTACCCGATTGCGACGAATTCCGGCAAACTTGTGAAGACGGACTGGTTGTTTTGACAGTGAGTGATGCGTTCGCACAGGATTCGGGATGGTACACATGTGAGGTCTATAATTTGTTTGGAGAAGCGTCTGCCAAATGCCAGCTTGTCGTTCATGGTAAATATCTCGGTGGTAGCGTTTAGTGCGGAACAGTCAATTTTCTAGTTAAAATGTTCACTTTTAATGTATGGCGGGTTGTTTTTGTTTTACACGAACAGTAGTAAAAGTGCACTATGCTTTCTAGTAGAAAATAATGGGGACAAAGTAATTGTAGTTAGTAATCGTAAAAACTGCAGAATATACAATAGAAACTTAATGAACGTAATTCTAAGGTAAGAATTTTAAGCTGCTGCATGTTTAGCATATGAAATTAGTCAAATGTTGCTAATGTTATTGAAAGGATCAACGCCAACTTTGTGCAAGATTTAACATAATAACACTATGTATGTTTTGATTTGATTTGATTTTGGAGATTTTCACGGTGTTACTAACATCAGGTAATAAAACTAGCAATTGAAAACCCAAAGTCATAGATGTAAACATAAATTCTATGTTCAATAATTATTTTAAAATCATGTATACAATAATTCGATCAGATCTATGTTTAAATATGGCATACACAAAAAAAGTGCAGTTTCTCTAAACTAGTTGTTAGCCAGTAATTTCCATTATAGAACTAAATGATTTATTATGAAGGTAAGTTCAGAAAAAATAAAAGAATTATATTTTTTATTTTCCTAGAGTAAGCTAGGTAACAGAGTCCGTTCGGTGAACGGCTACTGTCATATTCTTGACGTTTCATGACCTCTACAGTATGAAAAAGTAGGTCCCCGTTTCCGTCTGTTTGTCTGTCCCCACCAACAACTTGGTGACGCCATGTCAAAATTTTGCATTACTTAAATTTCATAAAATTACATACTCATATTCCTGTGATTTATGAATTCGCCCCTATTTGTTATTTTTTTGTTTATTATTTTATTAAATTACTTTACCCGAAGCAGTGATTTAGCATATAACATACCGGTTACAATTATTCAGTTAGCCATGTTTAGAGTAAGATATTTCCATCCTACGAAAAAAACTCTTTTATTAGTTACTCACTATCTTTCTTACTTTGATAAAATTGTTAGTCATTGTATTGTATTGTTTGATAAATAATAATTCATCACTTGTATTTACTTTTTGACACATTCGGAACAGGAATACGTACATCTAGATCTGGAGAATGACCAGACATTAAATACTGCAATGTGTGTTAATACTTAATAATAACTCGAATTCTGTTACGATTTTTTTTTTATTTAATCGTGAATGCATGAAATTTTAATGACAGATAATTTTAATCACAGCTTAAAAACAAAGATGGAGATATCACCTCGCTAATGTGGTTGACATGATTCTGAAGCCGGAATGTCTGTCGATACTGTTTCTGCACCCAGTTTTTGTCGCATCTCCATATCTGTAGACGTTTCTTATGAACCAACATATGTTTCTGAGAGATCCACTGTGACGCAAAAACTTGGTGATAGTTAATCAAAAGTTATTCTACAATAAAAAAGATTTGTAGTGGGAAATTTAAAACGTTCACTTATCTATGAATATTTATCTGAGAGTAAATACTAAACTTAGATTCATTTAGTAGAGAATATCAGATTTTTAAAAATATTTAGTGTTTTTTATTGCAAAATCTTGAAAAAAAAATTGTGTTACACAAAATTTCCCTCAAATGTAACTTGTTCAAAAAATTATAAAATTTTATTTTGAGAATTTTATTTTCATCCCCTTAAGTTTAAATAAAATTTGTGTGAACTCTCAAAGTACAGATAAAAAATCATGCTATGCGTTTGTTTCAAGTGAGTTTTTCCACAACAACTTTTTTTGATGACGTCTTCAACGTTTTAGCAGGGATACAAACATCAATTTATGTAGGTGCAGAGTAATACTAATAATAACAATACTGTATACTCAAAATTTCGGGAAAATGAAGGGAACTGTCCTTTATTTGATCAATAAAATAAATTGCTTTATACATTAATTCCCTTGAGTCGCCCTGTATAAGAAATTCTAAATTAGAAGCCCAGCTCTCAGAATTTAGAAAATTTCTATAATAAAAATTAAAAGTGTGGCTTCGGTTTTCTATAAAATACGGCGTTGATAAGCACTCCTCATATGAAATTAAAAAAAAACGGGACGTCTAGAGTTAAAAATAAAAGCAGATTCATAAATCATAAATACAAAAGCTTGTTTATTTTATGAAATTCATAAGGTTTACTATGCAAAATTTTGAGGTGCTATCATTACGTTGTTGGTAGAGATGAGTAGACAAATTTTGGTTAGCGTTTTCCATCTACACGATATTCCAAAAATAGGTATAAAACTTGACAATAATCGGTGCAGTAGTTTCAGAGATATAAATATCGACACAGACGACAGATAGACAGTCAGAAACGAAAGACCTATTTTTCCATATTCTAGGTATCACGAAACGTTATACTTATAAAGTACTTTTCTCACCCTTAGAAGCGTGAAATAAATATGCCAATTTTTTTACATAGATTTTTTTAACATGAATGTATTTATAAACCATACTTATAGACAGACGCATATTATTTTACACATTATAAATATAATTTATTTACTCTACTTCACAAATTTTGAAGTCATCAAAATTTTGGTTCGCAATCTATCGGGCTGACGACAACCTCAAAGCACCTTCTAAATTTCAGAGCAATTGGCTCAGTACTTTTCTAAGATATTTTATAAAATTTTGATGTATAGTAGAAATCAGGAATTAGTGAACACTGACATTCTGTTTCCGATGGTGTTTTTTCGAAGCCCTTAATTAAATTATTCAGAATTATAATGGTGATGATTTATAAAAACGCTTGCTTGCTTTTGGATTCCTTGTCGAAAGGATCAAGGGTTTTGCGGGCGCCTTTGACTATCAAATATTATAACGTTTTTACTTTCCGAGCCTAAGCTAAAAAAGTATTGTAATCGAGTCCGTTGGACGACTGGCTACTTTCATGATTTCTCTACGTTTCATGACCTCTTGAATACAAAAAAAATAGGGCTCCCATTTCCGTCGGTCCGTCTCTCTGTCTGCCGTGTATCCGGGTTTTTATTAGGCAGATAATTTCGGAATTTACTGAACCAATTATTGTCAATATGTGTATTAGGGATATGGTGCATATGGTAAAACGCTAATCAAAATCTGGTTAATCTTCCCTACTAGGAATAGAATCACGTCATCTCCTAAATTTACATTAGTAAAAATGTTATTAAAATTTAATAAAATAAAATATTCCTGCACTTGTGGTTTATGAATCTATGTTTCATTTTTACCCTAAACATTCAGATTTTGGGGAAAAAAATAAAAAATGTGTTAATTTAATGTTGAAATTGCAAAACCGAATGCTCTGAAAATGCAAAAGTGATCACGTCATGTTACAATTTTTCCGAATAATGTTCTTTAAAATTTATGAAATAACATCCTACATGTGTGATTTATGGATCTGTGTTGAGTTTTTACTACCCTAGGCATCCAGATTTTTGAGGAAGAAAATAAAATTGTATAACAACTTTGAAGTTGCAAAATCGATGCTATAAAATACTCTGTTCTGCCTTGAGACGACAAAAATAAATCAAATTTAATTTTCTTTTAACCACTGATTCAATGATGCTTGTTATCTAAACGTGACTGACAAATCGAGGATACGTTTTTACTATTTAGTTATCTGCTTTAAATATATATTTCAAACTGTCCGCACTTTTTATTATTTTTCAAAGAACTGAGATTTCTCAATTTATCGAATTCAGATGTTTTGATATTTTGATTGTTAAATTTTTCGATTTATCAGTTTTTCAATTTTTAACTTTTCTTCTCGGCTTTCGACTCCTCGATTTCTCGATCCTCTGATTTTTCGATTTCTCGATGTTTCAGTTTTTGTATTTTTCGATGTGTCGATTTTTTGATTTCTCGATTTTTCGATTTTAAACTTTTGGGTTTTTTAATTTTTCGATGTTTCGATTTTTCAGTTATCCCATTTTTCAATTTTTTCAGTTTTTTAAATTTTGGAGTTTCGATTTCTCGATTTGTCGATTTTTCAGTTTTTCGATTTTTAAATTTTGGATTTTCGAATTTTTATTTTTTGATTTTTTGATGTTTAGATTTCTCGATTTTTCAATTTTGTGATATTTTACTTGTTCAATGTTTTAAATTTTAGATTTTTCAATTTTTCGATTTTTTAAGTTTGCGATTTTTAGCCTTTGCATTTTTGACGTTTTGATTTCTCAATTTTTCAATTTTTTGATGTTTCGTTCAATTTTGTGATTATTCAATCTTTCGATTCTTGAATTTTTTAGTGTTTCGAGTTTTCGATTTTTCGAGTACTGGATTTTTCGATTTCACGACTTTTTACTGTTTGGATTTTCAATGTTGCGTTTTTAAACTTCGGATTTTTCAATTTTTCGACTGTTTTATACTTCAATTACTCAATTTTTCAACTTTTCAACTTTTAAAAGTTTAGGTTTTTCGATTTTCCAATTTTTTTTTTATTTTCAATTTTCCAGTTTTTCGATGTTTCGATTTTTCAATTATCATCCGATTGTTTAATTTCTCAATTTTTAAATTTTAGATTTTCCAAATTTAATTTTTTTGTTTTTTTTTGGATTTCTCGATTTTTCAGTTCTCCAGTATTCCTACTTTTCAATTTTTCGATTTTTAAAATTTTTCGACTATTTAATTTTTAGATTTCCCGATTTTTCGAGTTTTCGATTTCTCAATTTTTTCAACATTATAAGTTTTGGGAGCGTTTCAATTTCTGTTTTCTTTTTAATTTTTCGCTATTTTAATTTTTGATTCTTCGCTAATTCAATTTTTCAATTTTTCATTACCAAAATTGTGACTAAAAATAAGCAAAAATTAATACAAAATAGAACACAATACTTCTAAAACAAAAATAATACTGCACTTTCCTGAAAAAATCTATTGCATGATTACCGTTCCACTAATATTGCTAATTTAGGACGTTTTGTTAGTATTAATTAATTTACGTAAGAACTAATTTTTAGTTAAAAAGTAAAAAGTCGTGAAATCGAAAAATCCACTTCTCGAAAAATTGAAAAATAGAAGAAAAATTGAAGATTCGAAAAACTGAAAAATCATAAAATTTAAAGAAATATCCAAAAATTGGGAAATTAAAAATTGGAAACTTGAGAAATCGAAAAATTGAGGAACTGAAGAACTGAAACTGACCTAACCTGACCTGAAGAAGATACTGTGGACCAAAACACGTGTTGTAGTATCACAAAAAATAATTTCAACTTAGGAAGTATTTTTCTTAATATATAAAAAAGAAGAAGGTGTGGGGAGTAAATTATGATTATAATGAACCTAAGCGGTTTATTGAGAGCTTTCAGTCCACACTTTTGGAAACGGAAAATCACTGCTCACTAGTTCCTAGTCTCTACACTATACAATCATTTTTGTTTTTTTCAAAAAATCTATATATATATATATTATAATTTTGAGATAACGTCATTAAATTATTGATGAGAGTTAACAAACAAATCTTTGTTGTTTAAAAAATGGTCTTAAAGTACATCCGAAATCCGCAATAGGTACATCGAAAAAACATTGTATTAGACATTCTTCAAAATTTCTCGAACTTATGCCCCGAGAAACATAGCTAATTTGGCACGCTTTTAGAGGGTGAGAGAAGTGCTTTCTAAACTTTTTTAATTTGTTAAAAAAAACTCCCGAACTCCTTGTGTGAAGTACGTTTATAGATTTGAATATAGATAGATTTTTCAATGAAATTAGTGTTGTAGCGCGTATATTTTACATTTAACTAACACTAATTTAATTTAAAATATGCGCTGTGCTTGTGCATTAATTTATTTGATTTTGCCTTGGGTGTCTGTCGAGAGTGGGCAATTTTTTAAAAATTAAATTAAATTAAAAAGCCCAAGGGAACTATCGTTCTGTTTCATTTCAACTCAGTTTGAATAAATTTACCTATATGAAATTGTAAAACTAGTTTCTTTGGACACAGAAAACTCCTTAATTTTTGCATCTGTTGAAGACATCAGTCGAACAATTAGCGTCAAAATGTGCAGCATATTGGACCCTTTTCACAAAACTAGACGACAGGGTGTAATAACAATTAGAGACACCAGATAGCACCGCCTAGACATCCGAACGCCATTCTTCAAGCAGCAGACGGATCCATTGCAGGCTTAATGGTGCTTTAAGTGGTGTTTTCTCTTCGTACGCCCCATAAATTTTCTGAATAAATTGTTAAGCAGTCGCAAGGCAGATATTGCCCCGATAAAAACAACAGCAAACGTTAACCTTCTCTTCGTAAAGTTATAAAATAACACGGTCGCGCCCACCTCTCCATAGGCGCCAGTTGAAGAACTGCAATTGCCTTCGAATATTGCCTCTGTCCGGTGAAAAGAGGGCAGACAAATTGATTTACTTGCCCGCCTTATCTTTGTGTTTGTACGCTAAATGCGTTTAATATTTAGGTAGCTGTTTTACTTGAACGTCTTAATTAGCGAGCGGTCGTCGATGTTTATCGCGGTATTTTTCCCTAGTGTACATAGACATGTGTTTGATATGAAAGGTAACCTTCTTTGTTATAGAAAAGTGTATTCCGCGGCAAACGCTCGAGTTTGTGAAATTCCCATCGCCCGTTATCGCCACTCCTGGAGGAACTGTTAGTTTTTGCGCGAGGCTGAGGAATGCGGATCAAGAAAGACCGAAAGTCTCGTGGGAAGTCGCTGGAGTTCCTGTGACGGTCGGCGGCAGATTCCAGGTGAGGCTCAGATTTCACTGCATTTTTCATACTAATTACGGCTTGATTTCTTGTTTTCTTTACTGCGAGAATCGCAGATGTTCGTGATACGGTCACCAGCGGTTTTTTGTTTTAGGTTCGTACAGAATTGGTCATAACATTTTAATTGTCATGATATTAATGGCTTGAATGCTTTGGAATGAAAATTTACTTTGTCGAAATAGGGTTTCATTTCAATGACGAGTTTTCTGTGGATTCAACGTCTTTGGAGATCATCTATGGTCTCTTTAAAAGAGGGAAGTTGAAAAGTTCATATAAACTTTTCATGACATGCTTAAACATTAACAAAATTGCTTAAAAGCTTGAACATAAAACAAATTGCAGAATACGTTTAAAGATAAAAGCTCCATATAACTTAAACTTAACTTCTACGTTTTTCTTCATCCACATTGCCGGATAGATCTCAGATAACATACAGGCGTCCCAGATAAAATTACGCGGCCTTAGATCTTGAGAACGGATAGAAATTTTGAAATTCTGTAAACCACATGGCTTTTACCTTAAAGGAGGAGCTTAATTTAGTACACTGCAACAATTTCGCAAACTTGTATTTTTTAAATTGCAATGTATATTTGTTTGAGCGGATTTTTATAGATCATTTAGTTACGATTACAGTGATGTAAGCACTGATGTGTTTATTATGACCACAAAAAGAAATCTAAGAGTGTTACATCTGGGCTGTAAGCCGACTGTAAACTGAGAAAAATTATTTTCGACAGACAGCAAAGGAAATCGTTGTAATCCAAGACTTCTGACATCAAAAGGTAAGAGTAGTAGTGTAATTGTGTTTGCACATATATTTCTATGACAATATAATTTAAAGGTCTATCAAAATCCGTTAAACAAAAGTAGGTTTTTATATGTTGTAAATTAACCTGCCCTTTCAAGCTAAAAACAATAGCTTTTACAGAATTTCAATATTTCCATCCGTTCTTCTCAAGGTACAAAACCTCAGTTTTATCTGGTGTCAAAAAGGAACTATTACAACATGGAAAAACTTTCTACCATAGACTACACTTTTTTTTCATTTTTTGGGCTAAGTATATTATAAATTTTGGGATCATTTCTCTACAAATGCGTTAATTAATCTAAATAAAATAGTGGCCCTAACATCGAGCCTTGTGGCACGCCCGAAGATACAGATAGGAAAAACAAACACCGATTTTAATATCATTAACACCCTAAAATTGACGTTACATATGAGATTTTCGAAATGGAAATAGAATTTTGGTGGTAAAAAAGTGACTAAAATTTGCTGCATCTTCAACAGGACTACACACTGTTGATTGATTTTGAAGCAATAAATTTTATGACTGGAAGTGTATGATATAAATGAAAATAATTATTCGCTATAATAAGTTTTACTTAAAAAATAGTTACGCCAATTTACAATTTGGATTTTTAACTTAATGGAACATTAACAATTTTGTAGAAATATGCCAATAAAATGAATTGGTGGGATAGTCTACCATTTCTATCATTCCATTATTCTTGTGCAAAACATTGTGTGGGCGGTGGTTTGTACCAGTTACTTGTTTACATTAAATTTCATGTTTTTTTTTCGAAAACACGAAATAATGTTTTATTGTTTGTTTTTTAAACCAGAAGGTTCTGTATTTCCCCTAAATATGCAAATATCTCTTAAGTATTAAACCTTTATAAGTTCTTAAGAGCATTTTATTTTTACTTAACTCATATTCAAAATTTAAAAGTATGAAAAATCAATTTATAATATAAGGAACTTAGATTTTTTTAAAATATTTGAAACAAATGTACTGTGTTGGTTATATTTACTTTGGAGGAAACAGAATAAGAAAAAGTGACAACTTTGTATCTACTTATGCCTGCCAAAAGTACGGAGTTATAATGAAAAAACGTCCTCAAGTTAGCTCTGGACGATCAAACTGACTTTCTAATCTTGTTATAAAAATATAAAGACATATATGTTTAGGCGGTCTAAAAACACTAAATCGACATTAGTAATTACTGTTTTTCTAGAATTTGAACAAAATTAGATGTCCTCACATCGTTGTACATTTAACCAATAAAATAAATTGCTTCATTCATTATTTTTTTGTATTTTTCTTTGGAACCAATCCAAAATACATTTTTATTAACAATGCTAGAGTAGATACATACAAAAAAAATTTACGATTTTGTCTTTTTTAGTTTTTCAATTTTTATATTTAGATTTTTTAACTTTATGATTTTTAATTGAGGATATGTATTAATTTCGACAATGACAACAAAGCACATCGATATCATTCGAATATGGTTGCTTTCGCCACGTTTACTTACATCGTGTTTACTGAGGACTCTTTAATAGTACCCATTTTCGAATTTTTAAAAATGATAGTTTTTGGTTTTACTTTTCCCAATTTTCCGATTTTTATTTTGTAATTTTTTAATTGTACAATGTTTCGACTTGCAAGTTTTTGAGTTGTCAATTTTAAATTTTTCAAAATTTTGATTTATCAATATTTGATTTTCTCAATTTTTTAATTTACAATTTTTCGATTTCATAGTTAACTCGATTTGTCGATTTCTAGATCATTTATTCAATTTTTGGATTTTCTATTTCGATTTTCAAATTTTCCATTTTTCAATTTTTATTTCTTCAAATTTTCGACTTTACAGTTATCCAATTTTAGGTTTTCGAGTTTTCAATCTTTAATTTTTCAATTTTACGATTTTTGGATTTTTTAATTTTTAGTTTTGTGATTTTTTGGTTTCCCAGATATTTGATTTACAATGTTTCGATATTTCAATTTTGCACTTCCTCAATTTTTCAATTTGTATATATTTTAATTCTTCCTTATTTCAATGAATCGAGATTTGAATTTTTAATTTAGGTTTTAAATTTTTGAAATTCTCAATTTTTTAATGTTTCATTTTCCCAGATTCTAATTTTTAATCCAAATATGTAGGTAATTAAAAAAAAAACAAATTTATTAAAAGTGAAATTTTCACGATTTTACAGCTTTCTTAAATTTTGTAAATTTTTCTTAACTAATTAGTTTTTAATTGCTTTCACCGCGTTTATTTACACTGTATATTTTTTAATAGCACCCATTTTTGAGTTTTTAAAATTCCTTTAGTTTTCCGATTTCGCAATTCTCCATTTTCCGATTATTGTTAGATTTTACAATTTTTCGATTTGCAATTTTTCGAATTTTGTTTTAAATTTTTGAAAATTTTTATTTACCAACTGTTAAATTTTTCAATTTTTCGATTTTATAGTTATGTACTTAGATTTTTAACTTCTTCGATTTAGAATTATTATCGTTTAATTACAGTTTTTCGATTTTACAATTTTTCGCTTTCAAGTTTTGTAGTTTTCAATTTTTCGAATTTGTAGATTTTCGTTCCTTCAGCTTTACGATCTGCAATTTTTAATTCATTCGATTTTTCAATTTTTCAATTTGTAGATATTTTAATTTTCTTTATTTGAATTAAACGACAATTCAAATTTTCATGCCTTCAGTGTTCGATTTGCAGTTTTTCTAGTTTTCAATTTCTAGTCTTTTCAAATTTTAGCCTTTAATTAATCAAATTTTCGTTTTTGCATTTTTAAATTTTGGACAAAAAGAACAAGTTTATTCAAACTGAAATTTTGAAAAATCGTAAAGCAGGATTTTTTTTCTCATGTTGCTTTTGTATTTTCGATGCGTCTTTTTCGAAAATCGAAACATCGAAAATAAAAAATCACAAAATTGGAAATCTAATCTGAAAAGACGAAAGAATAAAGTATCGAAAAATTGAGAAATCTAAAAATAATAATAAAAAGAACGAATCTAAAACGCCAGAAAATTCAAAAGTGCAAAAACTTAAAAAATTTAAACTGGAAACTCAAAAAATTGCGGAAACGAAAAATTAAAAATCGTTAAACTGAAAATTCGAAAAAATAAAAACAGAAAATTTTAAATTTGTAAGTTCAAAAAAATTGCAACACGGAAAATTGAAGAACCGCAAAATTCAAAAATTGGAAAAATCAAAAAATTAAACTGGAAACTCAAAAAATTGCAAATCAATGTATTGGAGAAAGAAAAAATTAAAAATCGAAGAACGGAAAATTCGAAACACAGAAAAAACGAAAAAAATAAAAATCCAAAAGTTGAAAACTCAAAAAGTTGCTAAACAAAAAATGGATTTATTTAAAAATTCGAAGAGTGGTATTACCGACAGCCTACATTTTAAACGACATCAGTTTTGTATACACTACAGAGGTAAGATCCGAGTCATTTGCCTTGTGATGTGCTGATGGACACTGTTTAATTATGAGGACAGCGAATACCCAGATTCTAAGATGACAATAACAATAATTGTTCAGATTTATTTTTAAAATACTAGAAAAAAATATATTGTCCAGAAATATATCGATCAGAAATAATAAAAATAACAATACAGCGCAGATTCATTGCTGAGGCATTGCTTCATAGAACAAGCCGCCCTTGGTAATCAGTTCTGTAGTTTCGCAATTTATATGTCTCATTAAAAATTATTGCTCATATTGTATGCATTTTTGCTATTTTGTTTGACAATATTTGGATACGCCACATATTTAAGATGGAAATTCTGTTAACGTCAGGTTATGAGAATTTCACAAATTATCTGGCTAATTGCTTTTTAATTGTTACATTATTATTAATAGTTTGGAAGTTTAGACGTATTTTGATTGTTTACGTCACAGAAAAATGTGTCTTATTGTTCACAGTAAAAACAAAACGGTTACAATTTTATCATTAATGATCAAATGTAATAAAAAAAAGATAAATGTATTACTTTCTGACAACTTTCAAAAGCTGTAAAAAAATCAGAAACACATTAATTGATTTCGGCGTTTAATAAATTGTATTTTATCAAAATTTCACAAATACTTAATAGTATGAACTTCGAAACTACATTTTAGCTTTGTTAGAGAATTCTACTTTTAACTTTCAGTCAAAGTAGTAACAATAAGGAAAAATATAACCACAATTTTTTAAAATTAACAATTTTCGTTGGTAATGTTTAGAGTTTGTTCTACATGATTCATGTGTTTAGTAAAGAGTACACTGATATGATAATAAAAAATAAATAATAATTACCCACTAAAACTATAATACTTATTTACTATAACCGCGAATGTCTGATAATTTACTGATTCGCTAAACTCATTTTATTTTTAGAACTCCTAACAAAACGGATAAAACAGTTATTTTAGGTTAACATTATTTGTTGCTCTTTGATCATAGGCTATTGTTCTATTTTAATATTGTTTCTTTTATTTACGTTTTATGATACTCTATAAATCACTACACGAATTATTACGCTTTAAATGCTATTTTGTTCTTATAAATTTATTATGGTTACATTTTTTTCTTATTGATTTTTAGTTATCAGAATATTTTAATCAGATATTTTTAGAAGGTTTTTCGATGATAACAAAGAAATCGCTCGTAATGATAATAATGAAGATTTACATAATTTTAAAAATAAATGCCATTATCATGTTTTTATAAGAATTCCACCACGAATAAATATTTACCAAATAACTTCTAAGAAAGAATTCTGACACTGTCTGCGGTATTTAATAATCTCGTATGTTCCAGTAAGCTAAAATAATGAGAGATGAGAGAATATTTATGTAACGTCGATCAATTACAGACTAATCCAAAGCATCCGGTTTGCAGACTAAATGATTTGAAAACCAAACACTAATGAGACTGATCAAATGATCACCACCAAGTAATAACCTCTTTAGTTCTGTCAGTTCGAAAACTCCGATATTTGTTATTAAGAGTCTGAACGTTGAGAGAATTATTCACAATAACCAGATATTTTTTCAGAGCATTTTTTTCTTGCGTAATTATATAATTATATTCTTTAACCAACGGTAATTATGTATTTAGATCATTACACCCGAATTTTCGGACACGCAATCCTGGTATGGATTATAAATCTGTCTTTATTTCTTCTTTCGTAAATCATGTGTAGAATTGTAGATAAGTATATGTCCGAATTTTCACACACTAAACCTCTGTAAACACATAAAACACGTAAACTTTTCATTGTGTTGAAAAAAAATTGCCTGCGCGGTGTTAAGTTCTGTTATCAGTTATCACTACCAGCAAGGTAAACACACATTTTTGGTCATGAATTGAACACGTCTGTTATAAACAATTAACTTCTTTGAGAAGGTGAGAACACTTTTTGTTAAAATTATTTTGCTGACGGCTAAAGCAAAACGAGACATCCCCACATCTCCGTCCAGTTTTAAAGTCATTAATATCCTTTTAATCGCCATTTTTTAATGGACTGTAATGAGTACCGCTTACCATATCTGACAGAAACAATGCAAGGACCTTGGAGACGGTGTTAGACGCTGTTATCACGTTTAGTAGGTCTCCACGTCGCCGTCGTATAATGTATACCATTACAAATTCCAGGGCTATAAATTTTACGTTTATCTTAGAACCTATAACGGGAACATTAATTCAAATATTGCAAGACATTACATCACCTTTATTGATTCATTTCCCCCCAAAGTTATTAAAATTAAATATATGTATTTGATACGCAGTATTGTTTGTGCTTTTATTTTTTAAATTTAATATGAATTATTTAATTCTAGAGAAAGTTAAAGTACCGTGTGATTTTTTAAATTTCTGTTCTTGGTCATGAAACGTACATCAGCACTGCAAGCGATATGGCCAACTAGAGCAGAAATTTGAAAAATCACGCGATAGTATTAGTTATATTCTACGTATGAAATTTAATTTATTTATTCCCGTTAATAAAACAAATGCATTGTCGTTTGTACTTTAGCAGTGTGTATTTATTTTTACATTGACTTAAATGAATTTTCAAAAAAACAGTCTCATAATAATAAATTAATGTGTGCTCAATTTTCTCAAAAATCAGCGTAATTTCCGTAAATTGTGGCAAATGGTTTTATATTGCACATATCAAAATTAGTATATTGACGCTCACCACAAAATTAAAAATTTAAGTACATACATCTAGAAAAAAATGTTTCATTTTTGTAATATTTGTTGAATAGCATAAGTACGCTAAGTATCGTAGTCGCCGAAAATTTCAAAACGTTTTCTTATTTTTCGAAAATAAATTAAGTGAATATTAAATAGGTTCATTTTTCGTGACTTTTCACAATACCAAGGACGAAATTCCGTTTTCATCTGTCTATTTGTTTATCTATCTTTTGGTAATTTTTTAAAACTAATTTTTATGAAAAAAATATCTGTTGATTATGGGATTAATTTTCTAATTAATTCATTTTTGTTTATTTTACTTGTCGAATAGTAGCTAATATTCCTACTGCAGTAATATTAATCATTTTTTATTACTCGAACTCAAGTTAGGGAAATATTGTGATAAGGTCCATCCGACGAACGACTAAATGTATGTGTTTTTTCGACATTTGAAACTTCCTAGAATATGCAAAAGTGGGAGCCCATGGAGATTTTTTTCGTAAATTATTAGAACAATTTTGAGGGACTTTGGTGTTCTATTTTTGGAAAATTCTAACTTGACCTGTTTTTGAGTTAATTTTGGGACCCCGTTTTTTTTTTGAAACATTTAAAACCATCTTTTGGAATGAATTTGAGTGTGCTTTGAAGCCTCTAGTGTATTTTCTTCTAATAATTTAATTAAATTTCTCAGAGGATACATCATCTTATTTTAGCAGAAACTAGCCCCGCCCACCCGCCCTCTCTTTTCCTAGAGTCTATCTCATTTGCCAAAATCAGTCTTATCTTTTCTTGGAGGGTATGTCATTTGTCAAAATCAGACTTATTTTAACGGTCACAACCTCCACAGACCCACCCTCTCTTTTCTTAGAAGGTATGCCATTTGCCAAAATCAGTTTTATCTTAGTAGGAACTAGCCCCGCCCACCCACCCTCTCTTTTCTTAGAGGGTACGTCATTTGCCAAAATCAGTTTTATCTTAGCAAGTATTGATGACTAACTTTTACAAAAAATAATCAAAATTTGGAAACATTATGAGCTTACTTATATGAACACGGCAAGCATTTTGAACACCTTCTCTAGTGTTTATTTGGTTATGCTTTAATGAATTTTTCTTTTGTTGGTTTTGTTTTTGTTTATAATTTATAAATATCTTAATAAATGTTTTTTTTTGGTTTATTTATTAATGAAAAATAACAGCTTGTTCTGGTTATTGTTCTAAAAAGAGTGTTCCCAATTTTACTTTTATAAAATTAAGGTTTCTTTCGTAATCTACCTCATAAAGAATTTTTTTATTATTTTTTTGGGACTCCGGAAACCTCGGTACATACCGTACTGAGAGTTAATCTGCCATTTTCCAGACACCCGGTATATATGATAAAACGCTCACCAAAATTTATCTGATAACTCACCAAAAATTTGTCACTTCATCTTTCCAATTTTTGGGGGGTATGAATTTGTTTTAATTTTTTACCTTCGACGTTTCAAGATTATCGTAGTCATGGTAAATCACTAATAAAAATATATTTGTTTTTCCTCTCCAAATACTCACTGACGTCATCTCAAAATAAATCTTTTCTAAATTGTGTAAAATACAGTTGTGGTTTATCAATATATGTTTTTTTAGAATTGTTTATAAAAGGTGAGTCAAAAAATTAATGAATGAATCAACGTTAACCACAAAATATTCACGTCACTTCAAACTTTGCTAAGTAAATCTTACATACATAAATTTTGAAAAATAATGCTTTTATATTTGTGGTTTATTAATTTGCCCTGTTTTACCTTCGACATCCATTTTTGAAAAAAAAAACCATAATTGAACAGTAATATTTTACAACTGAAATTTAGAAAATATAAAACTGACTAAATCCTGCAAAAGTTTTAAAGTTATCGTAAAGATGGCAAATCGCTAATTAAAATTTATCTTTTTATGTCTCCCAAAAATTTGGTGACGTCATCTCCAAATTTTGGTAGAAATATCCCATCCAAAAAGTAAAAAATATTATAATTGTTTTAATTTATATCATGAAAAAGTCGAAAAGTCAAATTTTATAATTTTTTTTTGAAAAATTGTCAAATTATTGTTTGTTTGTTGTTCTTTAGAAATGAGGTAAATTCTGTCTAAATAATTTTAGACCAATTTTGAGAATTGGATAAATATATACTCAAAAATTAAATATTTTATAAGTATTAAGTAAGTACATATATCAAAAACGAATCATCTAACTTTCCCAAAATTCTGGAAATACGTTAACGTCATGACAATTTTTCATCGTACTAGTCGTCATATTAATGTGTTTATCGCCGTCAAAAAGCGATTGACGTCATCTTAAAGAATTATTAAGTAGGTATGTCTTTATTAGAGAATACTGTCGGAGATGCCTGTAACATACTTGCCCTACAGTCAACAGTTCCGTTTTATTAATTTCCGAAAATCCCAACAATGACGCATTCGATTAAAAATTGTTTTATATTTTTATTTTTCAACATTAAACATTTCACTGAAGTCAACCTTCTTACTCAGCAAATCTGAAAACGTAAATTCAGTTCGCTACGTTTTGGTATGACACATTCTGTTAACGTGCGTCATCTACAGGATATCCCTAGTAAATATCACCCATTTTCAAATATTGTTATGACATGACCGATAAGAGAAATAAACTTTGCCAAAAAAAAAAAAAAAAAAAATCAAGCCATCCAGAGGTCACAGAAATGAAAATGCTCCTCTTCGAGAAAGTAGCTGCCCAAATTGTGCGCTCCAAAGTCATCCATCATTTTATTCCTTCTCTGACTCTCTTATGCTGACTGCACTAATCCTCGGTACGCTTCTGTACACCGTATTTTTATATACCTGCTGCTGTTTACAGGTAGAGGAAGATGGTGACGTCAGCATTGTCCACATTGTTGGTGTGACACATCTTGACGCTGGAGAGGTGAAGTGCACCGCTACGAAGCAGTCGACGGCGGGTACCGCAGAAGTCATCAGTTGCCGCACGCAACTAACAGTGGTACCGGACCTGGACTGTCTCGGTGCGTTCGAGGGTTATAGTGGTAGTGCCGCCTCCATGGAGGCTTCGGACTCGGTGCCTTCGGGAGTTCATGGTGGTGGTGGTGTGATGGTGGTGTCTGAAATTAACGAACCGGCGATGCTGCTGAGGAAGCCACAAGACACCACTGCCTTAGTGGGTGACAGGGTCCTTCTCAAGGCCACTTATATGGGTCATCCGGAACCTACAGTTCGATGGACCAAGGCGGTGAGTGGAACAGTACCAATAGTACCATCATTCGTTTGAATTTATAAGCAAAATTTGATAATGGGGTAGTGGTTTCTTATTTCTAGAGGTGAATTCGGTTGAATTATATTTTGTATTTGGAAACATGATATTACCTGATTGTTACATCCAAGTAGTCCGTAATTACAGAGCTGTTTTATCAATTTATGGACTTAAAGGCTGGTCTGACCATATCTGTCAATCCAGCGATATTAAATAAAAATGTTGAACTTTATTAACTTTAGAATAAAATAAATTCGACACAAATTTTGTTAAGATAAATACTTATTTAATAAGAACGTTAGAAGATAATGACAATCTCTTACACAATATAAAAGTGTTTACTTGTGGGCATTACCCTAAACCAGGTAAATTAGACTAATAATATTTTTGGTCGAATTTGAAAATTTTCTTTTGCATTGGCACATAAAGAACTTTCTTTTCTCAATTGTGGAAGCTAATTATTAAAAATAATTATTATGTATGTATACGTTTTTAGTATACATCATTCAGTTTTGACAGGTCTACTTGTTTTCTAGGACTAATAAATCATCATTAGCGTTAAACTACGCATGTGATGATAAAAATGTATGAGTTGAATAGTTTTTAAATGGTTTTCGTTGTATGAATAAAATTGGGAATTCTTAATTGACATTGTCATTTTGACGTTTACAATTCTTTTTTTTAAAGCACTTGTTTGTGCGGACATTTTAAAAAACTCTATATTTTTAATAACCAAATCCCGTGAGTACTAAAAAAGTAACAATCATGATAAAAATGGATACTTTTTTTCATAATGTTTTTAAATAGTTAGAGCTAAATAGTACAGAAAAATTTGTTACGCACAGTGTCAATCAATAACATTTCACTGTTCTAAAGCAATCATTATAGTTATCAGTAACCTAATTTTTTTACAGTTGTCATTTTTACTAAATACACATTTTTCAAAGATTAATTTTTAAATGTCATGCTGACATGTGTTCTGCTTAATCAAGCTTCAACTACAGTCAAATTTTTGACAGTAAAGTAGTGCCCGAAATTTATTGATTAGCATTATACACTTTGAAATAAACTATAAAATTGTGTCCCAAATTTGTTAAAACAAATACTTTGTGTAAACTTAAAAATAGGAGTAGGATTTGTAAAGGAGTATATGTGTTTTATAGTACATGTACTTAACAATATTTTAACACCACGTTATCAGTTTTCTGAAGGAGGTGAATAGACAATAAATGAATTTATTAGCGTTTTATCATTTTCAAGATAATGTTAAAGTACATACATTTAAAATGTGAAAGTGATAGCCCGGAGATGATGTATTTAATTAAGTTTCAGCGGATAAAACATTATAAATAGAGTGTGGCAAATTGGAAGGCATTACTTTTGGGTTTTATAAACTGCGCGTAGTAATAGCTTGACACTTGACAGACGCGCTTACAGAAATAGATGAATTGTACTGCTACAACTTGATGCCATTGTTTTCAAAGATTATACTGTACACAGAAAAAAATGGCTCAATTGGTTTTAATGTTTTCTCAATTGCCGAAATATAGTCGGCCCAGTGTTAAATAAAGACAAAGTGTGACGTTTTCCAAAAATACGAAATAAAAATCTTTTCTATTTTTAATAAACACTTTGAAAACGAATAATTTGTAGACGGTATCATTTTAATTATCATTCAAGATAAGACACTCTAAGCTCGTGCAAAATAAAAACTCACAGAACAAACAGTTTTATCAAAGACGCCTTTGATCTAGCACACTGTCTATTGTTTAATTCTTCTAAAATGCGATATTTGCATTAAATGCACTAATGAAAGACGTCATAATGTCAGACATAAAGTACTCGTCCAAAGAAAACTTTGAGGTAAGGGAAATCTTCCGATGTTCGACCGAAACTAGTTTTAAAAACCGAAACCGAAACTTCCTTCTATGGTAATTCCCATTGTCATTTCTTAAGTGGGATTTATAAACTGGCTGTTGAAGTTCCCGTTGCAGTTGCCGTTCATAGTAACTTTGATGTTCAACTTTTGCATTATTTAAAGGGGTTGTAGAAGAAAAGTGGAGGATTTAAGTTGATTACTACAAAAATTTATATTTATCGTGACCCAAGTTTTTGAGCATCGTGTTGTTCAAAGAATACTATGCATATTAAGAAAAAAATAAAGCCAAAAATTAGGCCCTACCCATACCCGCCGCGACCTCAATTCTCAATTGTGATGAATTTTTCATTCGTTGTCAGATCGAGGGGCGGGGCTTAATTACAAGATCCATTTTTGTCTACAAGAATTTACCATTTTAAACATGTTTTGAGTTTCTTGTTCTGGAAAGACGACTACGTATATTAAGAAAAAAGGCAAACTATAAGCCCCGCCCACCCGCCCTATCTCAGTTGTGATTTTTTTTTTCGTCGAGCGGAATTTAATTGCAAAATCGTTATTATTTTTCTACAAGAAATTACAATGGAAGACATGTTTTTGAGTATCGTGTTATGAATACTATGTATATTAAGAAAAAACTAAAGCCCCACCTATCCTTGCCCTGATCTAAATAGTAATGAAGTTTTCATTCGTTGGCAGACCTAGGGGCGGAGCCTAATTGCAAAATCCATATTTCTTTACAAAAATTTGCCATTTCAAACGTGGTTCAAGTTTCTAAGAAAAAAAAAATCATCACAACTGAGGTGGGGTGGGTGGGAGGGGTTAATATTTTGCCTTTTTTTTCTTAATATACATTGTATTCTTCGAACAACACGATACTCAAAAACATGTTTATAATTTCTTGTAAAGAAATAAGTATTTTGGAGTTAAGTTCCGCCTCCTTGGTTCACAACGAATTAAAAAAATCATCACAATCGAAATAGGGCGGGAGAGCGGGCCTACATTTTGTCTTTTTGTTTTAATATGTGTAGACTCCTTTTCACAACATGAAACTTAAAACAAAATGGAAAATTTGTACAAGGAAACATCGATTTTACAAATAGGATCCGCCCCATAATTGCAAAATCCATATTTCCTTACAAAAATGTACCATTTTAATCATGTTCAAAGTTTCTTGTTGTGAAAAGATGACTATGTATATTAAGAAAAAAAATGCAAAATATAATTTCGTAGTTGAACGACCAAAGTGACTGAGTAAATTCAACCCTCGGCTTCGCCTCGGGTAAAAGTAAGATTACGTACTTCACATAAGAAAATGGAAATTAATTCTCTCTTTAAGTCAATGGTTCCCACATTGAAACTATTTTGGATCGAAATTAGACTCTACAATCAAAAAATTTCCTCTCGAGGCGAAGTCGAGAGTTGAAGAATATGTAATTACCAGACAAATATTTTTAATTTTTGCTATTAAAGTGGATGATTAAATTCAACGCTCGGCTTCGCCTCGGGTGAAATTAAGACTTACATTCATAAGAAGAAAAAAAAATATATTTTTTTCGTATCATAATTATTGTTTTAAATTGAAATTATACAAGAAATTTTCAGACGAGGCGAAGCCGAGAATTCTAAATTGTGAATTATATACGTTTTTAGAAATCATTTTTCATTCAAAAATATGTATATGATAACCCTAAAATACAAGGTCAAAATCTAGCTTAACCCAAAATCTGTATTTTCTTATGTTTACCATTTGAAATGTGTTTTCAGTTTCTAAGAATAAAAAAATCATCACAATTGAGATGGGGTGGGTGGGCGGGGTTTTATATTTGGCCTTTTTTTCTTAATATACGTAGTATTCTTTGAACAACACGATACTGAAAAACAGGTTTTTAATTTCTTGTAAAGAAATAAATATTTTGCAGTTAAGCTCTCAACCTCTTGGTTAACGGCGAATAAAAAAAAATCATTACAATTGAGATAGGGTGGGTGGGCGGGCTTACATTTTGCCTTTTTGTTTTAATATGTGTAGACTTATTTTCACAACAAGAAACTTAAAACATGTTTAAAATGGAAAATTTGTATAAGGAAATATCAATTTTGCAATTAGGCTCCGCCCCATAACTACAAAATCCATATTTCCTTCAAAAATTTACCATTTTAACCATGTTTTAAGTTTCTTGTTGTGCAAAGATGGCTATGTATATTAAGAAAAAAAAAACAGGAAAAATATAAGCCCCGCCCACCCGCCCTGTCTCAATTATGATTATTTTTTTTATTCGTCGTAAGCCGAAGGGCGGAGCTTAATTGTAACATCTCTATTTTCCTACGAGAAATTACCATGTGAAATATGTATTTATATGTACAAACAAAACTAAATGTATTAATTAAAAATAAATCCAAAACACAAGCCCCACCCATCTCAATCGTGATGAATTTTTCATTCGTTGTCAGACCGAGGGGTGAAAATCGATATTTCCCCATATAAATTTACCATTTTAAACATGTTTTAAGTTTCTTGTTGTGAAAAGATGACTAGGCATATTAAGAAACAAAGGCAAAATGTAAGTCCACCCGCCCTATCTCAATTGAAATGATTTTTTTATTCGTCGTGAGCCAAGGAGGCGGTGCTTAATTGCAAAATCCTTATTTCTCTACAAGAAATAAAAAATATGTTTGTGAGTATCGTGTTGTCCAAAGAATACTGTGTATATTAAGAAGAAAACAACCCAAAAATTAAGCCTTACCCATATCCATCCTAAGCTCAATTATTGTGGCGAATTTTTCATTCGTTGTCAGACTGAGGGGCGGAGCCTAATTGCAAAATCGATACTTTCCTACAAAAATTTAGCATTTTAAACATGTTTTACCTTCCTTGTTGTGAAAGAAAGACTGCACATGTTAAGGAAAAAGGGCAAAATGTAAACCCTTGTAGTTATAATATCTAATCTGTTTTTGAGACGAACAGCAATAAATCTTGTTGATTTAGACGTCGAAAACTGTTTTGAACAATACAAAGTACTTACAGAAAGCTACAGTATAGACAACTATTTAAAATATGAGGGTTTCAGTTTTCAAGAAAAAAAACTGTTCATAGTGGCGAAAC